TTCACCACTATTTCACCATCCTATCCATCCGTGTAGGCCTAAATGGTGGTTTCCACTCGCCACACCGGTTTCTCCAACAATAAATGCTGCAACCAAATGCTGTTATTGTAAATTACTTTGATTATCATGATCAATCATTAATTAATAAACCATTTAAACAATCAAAATTGTTATTCCATTGTAAATTCTACAACACAATCAATTAACATGATCTGAGTCTGCGTCCGAAATGACACCCTATTCCTTACATTAGGCAAATTCAAATATGGACCTCGAACCCAGTTCCACAGCTAATTTTCATCAGGGACCGATTTAGACCTGGGACACCAGGTGGGTTTTACTGTGTTTTAGCTCATAAGTAGTGCAATATATAGGGAAAAAGAGTGACACTTCGGTCGCATGCTGAGTCAGCCTCCCCGTCTCTCTCGGCCAGTCTCTGCAGTAGGGTGATTACAGTGTCACTTCAGCTAGTCTCTGCAACAGGGTTTCCACTAGATTATATAGCCACAAAGTCAAAATTCATGAAAACATAAATAAGCTTTTTGTCCTTAATTTAAGGTTAGGGTTAGGCATAAGGTTAATGTTAGGTTTCAAATCTAATTTTAATAATGGCTTTGTGGCTATAGAAGCTAGTGACAACCCTGCAGCAGGGTGATGGCTGTCACTTCCTGTCTCTCTCGGCCAATCTCTGCAGCAGGGCGATGACTGTGTCCTGTTTGGAGGAGAGCAGCTCCAGGGCCGTGGCCATCCTACCCAGGGACTCTGCCATGCGCGCCTCCCTCCTCTCGCGCCTCCTCCCTCGGGCCTCCGCCCTGCTGTGATGCACCTGCTCCTCCTTGGCCTGCCCCTCCTGCCTCCTCAGGAACTCCTGTAGCAGGGAGGTGCCTTCTTCCGCTCGCTTCTGCTGCTGGGCCAGGAGGGAGGTAATGGAGGAGCCCTTGGAGGAGGAGGAGAAGCGACGGCGCTTCTTTCTGCGAAGGTGCACGCGGCTGAGGTTGGAGGGGATGTGACAGGAGGCAGGGGGCTGTGCGACCGGAGCAGGGGATGGGTTTGGCTGTAGAGGGTCTGTGTTATTAGCTATCCTGGGGGAGGGCGTGTCCAAGGGGGTGGGGAGAGGGAGGGAGGAGCGGACAGGGGTGGGGGGAGGGAGGGATCTGACAAAGGTGTAGAGAGGGAGGGTGGAGGGAACTGGCGTGTGGAGTGGGAGGGAGGAGGGGACAAGGGTGAGCGTCCGAGTGCAGGCAGTGATGAGATTGCCATAGGGAAGGAGGGGCTTCTGCTCTGCTTTGGCGGTTTCCGTGGCGACGTACACCTTAGGGTTGCTGGTTACTAGGGTAGGGCTGCTAGTGGTCTCGGCGCCGATGGTGTCACCAAGCATGGCATCCATCATCTTATGAGAGAGAAAGAGAGAGACAAACAGAAAGAGACAGAGAGAGATGGAATGTTGAGATAAGAGGGTCTTGTCAGCTTATAACAATCTTGTTTCTTACTTTCATAGTACACCCCCAATGTCACTAGAATTTATGAGCATTCACTAGAAGACCGCTATGACCACAAGAACAACATTTTCAACAAACTGAATAGACAGTTGCCTGACGTCACAAAAATGATGCGTGAGCAACGCAGGAGTAGAAGGCTGTGTGTTGCTGTGATCCTGAACAGTCAGATAGCTAGCAACAATGACATGAAGCTGCCATGTGGGGAATCGTAGGTGGCTTGTTTCAGATAGTTTTACCTTGTTCTTGATACCTTGTCTTGTTTTAAGGTGATTTGACTTATACCACGTCTATGATAACATGGCTCAAATTCACTAGCTAGCTGTATTTGAGAGACAAAAAGTGCTTATTGTGCAAATGTATGTATGTTTTCAATAATCCTGATTCTAAGCCAACCCTGTCTGTTTTGCCCAGAAGATGCACGCGCATCGGTTTTCTTACTAAACAACACACGTCTATTATTATAAAACAAACAAGTACCTCAAAGTACTCCCAGGAGGTTCTGGCCTGGCCGGTCTCCCTGCCTCTGTATTTGACCCTCTTATAGGTGACGATCAAGTTGTTCCACTTGCGGCGGATCTTCTCAAAAGGCAGACAGTGACCCTGCTCCTCCAGCTCCTTCTGCACGCTCTGGAAGAGCTGCGAGCGCTCCCGCGTCCCATACAGGCTCCAGCGGCGCCCCACTGCTTCGATCAGGTACACGATAGCCTGGTAGGAGAACTCTGGGGACACCTGGGGAGGAGGCCGAGGATTCGGGCGGGTCATGACTGGGGCTGAGGAGAAGAGGGATTTTAATAAGTACTGTAAGTCGCTCTAGATAAGAGCATCTGCTAAATTACCTAAATGTAAATCCTCTCTCCCATGACAGACTTAACCATTCAAATGTTAACGACCAGCTAGCCAGCATGCACGTGAGATTTGGTTTTGGGTGCTGCAGATAAATGGTACATCTACAGTAGGTGCTTAGATCAGGAAATATAGGATGGTGTTGTTATATTCATTTTACTCTTCTCCATCTACCGCTCTCTTTAATGGGACAAATAGGACTCACCTGGAGCAATCTTTAAGATGGTTTTGCCATCGGCGGAAGTAGAGGTAAAGAAACGGTCAGCACTCACAGGATCTAGTGGAAAGAAAGAAAGAGGCAGGTGTCACATGCAAAACAGTCAAATACAGTTAGTATTTTGCTTTAGCTCATAATGTCAATACAATTATGATCTTTCATTGTAGATTGTACTAATATTTCTAAAGTGTGCAGACTTTTTCCTGTTTCGCCTGTTGCGTCCAGTATCTTCACTACTCAGCTCTGGGTGTGCGGTAGATTCTGCCTATTATCTAATAGTATTTCTAAAGTAAAAGTGAAAGTTCCTGTGAGACAAGACTGAAAAATATGCTATCTCTGTCTGATTATACAGTACCAACAACTTACACTGTACGATGGGTTTGCTAGTCGTTTTAGTTGCTAGCCGCCCATGCTGTGTTGAATACCCAGCATGGTCTTCTATTGGACCGCCTTCTCCCGGAGAAATATCATGACGAGCTGCAGACTATGAGCCTCGTTTGCCTGAAAGCAGCGAATATGATTCGTCTTTTTCGTCAAAGGTCTCAGAGTCTTCACTTTTCACAGTGATATTCAATGACATTACCGCGTTTACCAAGCGCACTTTCTTGGCTATGGAATCGATCGACCACGTCTAAATAGGCTGCCTATGTGGCTGTTTCACTCAATGCTTATGAGAAGGAAAAAGTTTTAGTCTTTCAATTAGATATAAAGAAATTCGCCAACAAACCCCAACATCAGTCACTATTGCAGTATTTGCATTCTCGGACCTGTGGCTTTACAACAAGATGAAGAGAAATGGCTGCGTTTTTTACCAAGCATATTTGCGCAACGCTGCTGCGCAGCTCTGGGCAGGGATTCGCTGCTGGCAGTTGTGGTGACGTGTACCAGCGTGCGCAGGCCCTGCACGAGGGCAGAGACGCAACGCAGACGCTGCACAAACTGCCCTAAAGAGGGCGCTGCTGCTCTGTCGGAGGATATTCTCCTCAAAAGAACAACATTCTGGTAGGCTACACACAGTCAAACAAGTATGTTGTACAATGTTTTAGAAAATATTTGGTTTATTTTCGACAGCAAATCTAAAAAACGCACGTAAAAAGCTGATTTAAAAAACAATATGAAGGTGACATCACACATAGAACAATAAGACAGATATTTAACTGGATGTTTAAATGTGAAGCATCCGCTTGGCATCTCCACTCACTACCAAATATGGTACTGAGAGGAAGCCCACTGGCGGGCAGTGGGAGAAGATGGAACGAGATGGATTTTGGCCGACATTCTGCAAATGTTCTCATCAATGAAACATTTTATCTCAATACAGTTTTCTGTTCCCCAAACTAGAATTTGTTATGAACAGAGTGGACTAAGGTTTGTAGACTGCAAAGGCGAATTGAGTTATTGCACACGCGCACTTCACATAGTAGGCGTTCCCTAACGGAAATATGCAGATGAGGCTAGAACGCGCCAATACGATTTCGCTAGCTCGTGCTTGGCTCTGCCCCCCCTCCCCTCCTTGCTTCTGTCCACTATGGCTCATTTGTTCCCATTGGAAACGACAGGCTGTGGTCTATCTTGGTTTAGTTATTTAAAAAAATCTATTTTATCCAAAAGCAGCGAGTCTAAGGACTCGGAGTATTCATTTTTTACAGTGATATTAAATGACATTACCGCGTCTACCAAGCGCACTTTATTGGCTATGGAATCGACCGACCCCGTCGAAATAGGCTGCCTATGTGTCTGTTTCTCTCAATGTTTATGAGAAGGAAAACGTTTTAGTCTTTCAATTAGATATAAAGAAATTTGCCTACAAATCCAACATCAGCCACTATTGCAGTATTTGCATTCTCGGACCTGTGGCTTTACAACAAGCTGAAGAGAAATGGCTGCGTTCTTTACCAAGTATATCTGCGCAACACTGATGCGCAGCTCTGGGCAGGGATTCGCTGCTGGCAATTGTGGTGACGTTACCAGCGTTCGCAGGCCCTGCACGAGGGCAGAGACGCAACGCAGACGCTGCCCAAACTGCCCTAAAGAGGGCGCAGCTGCTCTGTCTGAGGATATTCTCCTTTCAAAAGAACCCCATTCTGGTAGGCTACACACAGTCAAACAAGTAGACCTACAGTATGTTGAACAATGTTTTAGAACATCTTTAGTTTTATTCGACAGAATCCCTGGACATAAATCTAGTAAGGCCTAACCAGAAGTAAGAAGCCTGGAAGGTAAGGACTTCTAAGGCTCTTGCATGAGAAGTTAGGACATTTACTGTATGAAATGCAATGTTATCACCATCATTCTATTTCAATTATTATCACACACCCATTTTTGACTGGTAGAACGAATGAAAACAATTCATGAAAGGACTAGATGGATAATAATGTACATGCATGGAAAATAAGATCTGTACAACTTGGTGTACAAGTCTGTATGAAGGCTGTATACAAAAACCAGGGCATGGTGAATATTCCCTGTTGTCTCATAGTGAGATAACAGTACAGACTTGATGAAGGCTCTACTGGCTGTTGGATGCAGTTGGATGCTGAAGTTGGATGCTGAATGTACTCTTGAACTCTCTCTCAAACAGATTCTTCAATCTTTCGCCCATCCCACGGAACTCTGCATTGTCCTTCAGAAAAGAAAGACAGGCACAATTGTATAGAAAACATAATAAACAAGGTAGAAATGCAATTAACACAACTCATTTTGCCTAATGTAGCTTTGTTATGGATTAAACAAAGGCACATTTTAAAAGTGTTATTCATGCATTAGCATAAGTAAAGTTGAGTTAATAATTCCAAGATTTATTTCAAAAATGTTAGCCCTGAGTCTTCACATTGGACACTGCAGTAGTGCAGTCTTACCCTGTTGAACGTGGCACAGTTGGTGAAGATAAGCAACACGTCACACTCAAAGTGTTGCACTGACTGGTAGAGATTCTGCTGCAGCTTCTCCACAACCCTGTCCAGCCACATCGGAGTCTTTATCATACTGGTGTAGTTTCTCACCTGGCAATGAAACATACAGACAGAGATATATGTGAACTTTCACACGCACACAGAGAGAGAGAGAGAGAGAGAGAGAGAGAGAGAGAGAGAGGAGAGAAGAGAGAGAGATAGAGAGAGAGAGAGAGGAGAGAGAGAGAGAGATCTAGCTATACGAGAGAGACAGATACGATCATCGAACTGATGAGCTCTCTCTCTCTCTCCTCTATCCGTCTCTCGATATCTCTCTTCTCTCTCTCGCTAAGAGGAGAGAGAGAGAGAGAGAGACTTACACTGATGCAAGGATCTGTCACAAAGATCTTGTCCTCGTCCGCGTGGTACAGACACAGCAGGAGGTGGTGGCATTCCTGTCAGAGTAAACACGCACCTTAATGTGACTGCTCAAAGCTTGTTTACATTTAATTCTGCATACTTATTTAATGTCAAGTATTTCGTGATCATTATAATGGACAGACTGACAGATGGATAGGTTGATTAATTGATTGATTGACAGGCAATTGGCCCAATGGTAGCAGTCATTAATTCAGGCTCCTCACCAGTAGGTGGTCAGAGATTCGGCAGGTCAAGGCTTCCTGGTAGGTCATTTGTTTGGGGTAATGCCACGACTGACTGTCCCTCAGTACACATAATGTACACATCCACGGACGATTATCCCTGTGATTACACACACACACACACACACACACACACACACACACACACACACACACACACACACACACACACACACACACACACACACATTTTCAATAGTGCACAAATAAGCTTACAGCTAAGTTTACCTACACAGAACAAACAGACCTCTCTTCTATCAATCTCTTTCTCTCACTCTCTCTCTCATCAACCCTCAACTCTTCTCACCCCAGCATAGAGTCATCCACATTAGGAAGATGACATCTCTGATGGAAGGAGCGAGGACACTTATCACAGCATATCAAGCTGCCCTGGCTCCTACAGATGAAGCAGTCGTCATCGTTGTCCTGATCGTTTTGCCAAGACAGAGAAGAGAGGAAGGTGAGAAGGAATTGGTTAACAATCAAGCACCAACTGCCTGTTTGCGTGTTAACGAATGTATGTAAAACAAGAAGACGCCGTATCACCGATTCTGTTTGCTATGTTTATTAATGCTTTGGCAAAAATAATTAAACAGTTAAATATTGGATTAAGATATCATGATGAAATGCTGATGATATTATTTTGATGGCAGAAACGGAACAAGACCTGCGGAAAATGTCAATTGGTGCAAAAGATGGAGAATCATGATTTATTTTTTAATAACAAAAATGCATTTTTAGAAATCCAAGTACTGAGATAAGTTTTTCAGTTTTGCTGGCTGACTCAGCAATTAGAGCTCTTGGGGGAGTTATAGGAAAAATAATAACACTCAAAGATATATGGTTATTCCACATATTCCAAACTGTATCAGACATGTGTCCTGTTCTGGACCATTCAGCAGGGGTGTGGATTGCTAGGTGGTATCTCAAAGCAGTACGTTATTTTTTAGGTGTCCACAAGTTTGCACCTATACTGGCAATAACTGGGGACATGGGCTGGGAACACTGTGAGGTGAGATGGAAGGCGTGCATGGTGAGACTTAGGAATAGACTGTTGGATATGCCAATTGCCAGAATAGCCAGCAAAGGATCTCTTCACAGGAGGAGCCTGGGCAACCGAAATGTCGGACCTTTTCCAGCAGTCTGACTTTGAACATTTGTACGAAAACCAAATTAAGGGAGACAGAGACACTATTAAAAAACAACTGATGACACAATATGAAAATAAATGATTAATCATAAACCCAAATTGAGAACCTTTTGTTTGATTAAGGGTGAATTTGTGTGTGAGAGATACAGTATATTATGTACAACCTACCTAAAAGCAAGAGATCGCTACGTGTAAGATCAGGGATATTGCCCCTGCGTATTGAAACAGGTCGGTATAATGGTGAAATGGACGAGGAAAGACTATGTAACTATTGTGACCTCGAAGAAATAGAGAATAACATTCATTTTATCATCTATTGCACTTTTACCACACTATATACACTTGTCCTTATTCCAGAAAGCCCACCAGATATACCCTGGCAATATGTGGCTGAGCGATGAGGAGAAACTGAAATGGTTGTTCCTATGTTGTTCCCATGTTCCTGAGGGTCGAGGGGGAAACTTACCCGGTCTGTGGCCGTGGGGCTGCACAGCTTGCATTTACACAAGAGAGAGTGGATGTCCAAGATCTTACTCTGAAAATGAGAAACAAACAAAGACAGTAGTAGTACTAGTAAAACGTTTTTGAAGAAGGGACATTTTTTCATCACAGGTCCTTAAAGACCTGGCAGACTATCTTAAGCCGGGTTTCCCGAGTGGCGCAGTGGTCTAAGGCACTGCATCACAGTGCTAGCTGTGCCACTAGAGATGTTTCGGAGGACACACGACTCTCGACCTTCGCCTCTCCTGTGTCCGTACGGGAGTTGCAGGGATGGGACAAGACTGTAACTACCAATTGGATACCAAGAAATTGGGGGAGGCGAAGGTCGAGAGTCGTGTTCCAATTCCTTGTACAGTAGGTTGGTAAGTGCCAAACACACATCTTCTTCATCTCCCTTCCTCGTTCTCTTTCCCTCTGTACCTCGATGAGGACGCTGAGTGGTTTCCCGTCCCACTGGATGTCTTTCTTCCAGGAGGCATCTGCCAGAGCTGACCCCCCCGTCATAAACTCCACAGGGGTCATCCAGCGCAGCTCCGTACGGATGCTCTTTCCACACGACCCTGGGGCAACAGAGAAGATAGGGGCAGAAGGAAAATCTCAAATGAAACCCTATCATAACCCTAGTATAAATCCAATATGGCACACGACAGCTGACCAGTCACATAGGGCTATGGTAAAATAACCTGTAGTGTATTATCGACAATAGCTAAAACTGTGTCATTTACTTTACTTTATTACGTTTATTTTTGCAGAGACATTTTCAGTAAAAGTGCCGGTTTTAGCCAATTGGCAAAATTTCGACCGTAGTCCCGTAGTACAGACAGACAATGAGCACATAGAGAGCAACATATGACAAGTAACACTTAGTACGCAGACAGACAGAGCATAACACATAAAGCAACCAAACAAAAGACAGAGAATGAACAAACAATATCTACACACCTCACAAACTACAGACAGGTTGTGTGTGGCGCAGTTACGTGTGTCTGAAGGCAGTTGTGTTCCAGACATGGGAAGCTCTCACAGTGAAAGCCGTCTGACTGAAGGTGCTTTTCCTTAAGGGAACTATACAGTCACCTCTCATGGCAGACCTTGTGGATCTGCTGCCATGGGTTTTCTGCTTGATAAAAGCACTAAGTGGGGGCAGTATTTGAGGTGCAGCCAGAGAAAGAGGGTTGCCGACATGTAAAAGTGTCTCCAGTACCTCCAATAGTTTCTGAGACACAGCAATAGCTATAGGATTTTTTATGTTTATTAAACCTTGAGAGAATAAAATATGTAACGTACCTGATGCAAACCGATCCTTATGTAGCGTTCCATTGATGGCCCCACAGGTGACTTTGAAGACAGACTTTTTCACAACACCATGGCTGCCTCCTGTAATGCTCTCTCCTCCAGCAGTGTTTGCCTGCTCTCCTCTCTCTCCTTCCTGCTCAGCTTCTTCTTCTTCCTCCTCTTCCATCTCATCATTGTCATCCTCCTCAGATTCTGGAGTAAGGATAAACAGAGGTTTAGGGAAAGGTGGTTTATTATATAAGTGTGAAGGGTCAGGCCTGTGTTATTCACAAAACCTTATAACAACAACAACACACGGTTAGAGAGACACCATCCCCTTTACCAGATAGTCATGTCTGAAGGATTCAGAAAGATTCCATTGTTGTGATTGGTGTACATACAGTTGATGTCGGAAGTTTACATACACTTAGGTTGGAGTCATTAAAACTCGTTTTTCAACCACTCCACACATTTCTTGTTAACAAACTAACTATAGTTTTGGCAAGTCGGTTAGGACATCTACTTTGTGCATGACACAAGTAATTTTTCCAACAATTGTTTACAGACAGATTATTTCACTTATAATTCACTGTATCACAATTCCAGTGGGTCAGAAGTTTACATACACTAAGTTGACGGTGCTTTAAAACAGCTTGGAAAATTCCAGAAAATGATGTCATGGCTTTAGAAGCTTCTGATAGGCTAATTGACATCATTTGAGTCAATTGGAGGTGTACCTGTGGATGTATTTCAAGGCCTACCTTCAAACTCTGTGCCTCTTTGCTTGACATCATGGGAAAATCAAAAGAAATCAGCCAAGACCACATAATTTTTTTTTGTAGACCTCCACAAGCCTGGTTCATCCTTGGGAGCAATTTCCAAACGCCTGAAGGTACCATGTTCATCTGTACAAACAATAGTACGGAAGTATAAACACCATGGGACCACACAGCCGTCATACCACTCAGGAAGGAGCCGCGTTCTGTCTCCTAGAGATGAACGTACTTTGGTGCGAAAAGTGCAAATCAATCCCAGAACAACAGCAAAGGACCTTGTGAAGATGCTGGAGGAAACAGGTACAAAATTATCTATATCCACAGTAAAACGAGTCCTATATCGACATAACCTGAAAGGCCACTCAGCAAGAAAGAAGCCACTGCTCCAAAACCTCCATAAAAAAGCCAGAATACGGTTTGCAACTGCATATGGGGACAAAGATTGTACTTTTTGGAGAAATGTCCTCTGGTCTGATGAAACAAAAATATAACTGTTTGGCCATAATGACCATCGTTATGTTTGGAGGAAAAGGGGGGTGGCTTGCATGCCGAAGAACACCATCCCAACTGTGAAGCACAGGGGTGGCAGCATCACGCTGTGGGGGTGCTTTGCTGCAGGAGGGAATTGTGCACTTCACAAAATAGATGGCATCACGAGGAAGGACAATTATGTGGATATATTGAAGTAACATCTCAAGACATCAGTCAGGAAGTTAAATCTTGGTCGCAAATGGGTCTTCCAAATGGACAATGACCCCAAGCATACTTCCAAAATTGTGGCAAAATGGCTTAAGGACAACAAAGTCAAAGTATTGGAGTGGCCATCACAAAGCCCTGACCTCAATCCTATAGAACATGTGTGGGCAGAACTGAAAAAACGTGTGCGAGCAAGGAGGCCTACAAACCTGACTCAGTTACACCAGCTCTGTCAGGAGGAATGGGCCAAAATTCACCCAACTTATTGTGGGAAGCTTGTGGAAGGCTACCCAAAACTTTGACCCAAGTTAAACAATTTAAAGGCAATGCTACCAAATACGAATTGAGTGTATGTAAACCTCTGACCCACTGGGAATGTGATGAAAGAAATAAAAGCTGAAATAAATCATTCTCTCTACTATTATAAGTTTCTTTCCTGAGGATGGCTCACCCCTCACAGTTCTGGGTGACTTTAACCTCCCTATGTCTACATTTGACTCATTTCTCTCTGCCTCCTTCTTTCCACTCCTCTCCTCTTTTGACCTCACCCTCTCACCGTCCCCCCCTACTCACAAGGCAGGCAATACGCTTGACCTCATCTTTACTAGATGCTGTTCTTCTACTAATCTCACTGCAACTCCCCTCCAATAAGGTGAATGCACCAATTTGTAAGTCGCTCTGGATAAGAGCGTCTGCTAAATGTCGTAAATGTAAATGTCAAATCTAAAGTCTCCGACCACTACTTTGTATCCTTTTCTCTCTCGCTCTCCTCCAACACTACTCACTCTGCCCCTACTCAGATGGTAATGCGCCGTCACAACCTTCGCTCTCTCTCTCCCGCTACTCTCTACTCTTCCATCCTATCATCTCTTCCCTCTGCTCAATCCTTCTCCCTCCAATCTCCTGATTCTGCCTCCTCAACCCTCCTCTCCTCCCTTTCTGCATCATTTGACTCTCTATGTCCCCTATCCTCCCAGCCGGCTCGGTCCTCCCCTCCTGCTCCGTGGCTTGACGACTCATTGCGAGCTCACAGAACAGGGCTCCAGGCAGCCGAGCGGAAATTGAGGAAAACTAGACTCCCTGCGGACCTGGCATCTTTTCACTCCCTCCTCTCTACATTTTCTTCCTCTGTTTCTGCTGCTAAAGCCACTTTCTACCACTCTAAATTCCAAGCATATGCCTCTAACCCTAGGAAGCTCTTTGCCACCTTCTCCTCCCTGCTGAATCCCCCCCCCCCTCCTCCCTCTCTGTGGATGACTTCGTCAACCATTTTGAAAAAAAGGTTGACGACATCCGATCCTCATTTGTTAAGTCAAATGACACTGCTGGTCCTGCTCACACTGCCCTACCCTATGCTTTGACTTCTTTCTCCCCTCTCTCTCCAGATGAAATCTTGCGACTTGTGACGGCCGGCCGCCCAACAACCTGCCCGCTTGACCCTATCCCCTCCTTTCTTCTCCAGACCATTTCCGGAGACCTTCTCCCTTACCTCACATCGCTCATCAACTCATCCTTGACCGCTGGCTATGTCCCTTCCGTCTTCAAGAGAGCGAGAGTTGCACCCCTTCTCAAAAAACCTACACTCGATCCCTCCGATGTCAACAACTACAGACCAGTATCCCTTCTTTCTTTTCTCTCCAAAACTCTTGAGCGTGCCGTCTTTAGCCAACTCTCTTGCTATCTCTCTCAGAATGACCTTCTTGATCCAAACCAGTCAGGTTTCAAGACTGGTCATTCAACTGAGACTGCTCATCTCTGTGTCACGGAGGCTCTCCGCACTGCTAAAGCTAACTCTCTCTCCTCTGCTCTTGTCCTTCTAGACCTGTCTGCTGCCTTTGATACTGTGAACCATCAGATCCTCCTCTCCACCCTCTCCGAGTTGGGCATTTCCGGCGCGGCTCACTCTTGGATTGCGTCCTACCTGACCGGTCACTCCTACCAAGTGGCGTGGCGAGAATCTGTCTCCGCACCACGTGCTCTCACCACTGGTGTCCCCCAGGGCTCAGTTCTAGGCCCTCTCCTATTCTCGCTATACACCAAGTCACTTGGCTCTGTCATATCCTCACATGGCCTCTCCTATCATTGCTACGCAGACAACACACAACTAATCTTCTCCTTTCCCCCTTCTTATAACCAGGTGGCGAATCGCATCTCTGCATGTCTGGCAGACATATCAGTGTGGATGACGGATCACCACCTCAAGCTGAACCTCGGCAAGACGGAGCTGCTCTTCCTCCCGGGGAAGGACTGCCCGTTCCATGATCTCGCCATCATGGTTGACAACTCCGTTGTGTCCTCCTCCCAGAGTGCAAAGAGCCTTGGCGTGACCCTGGACAACACCCTGTCGTTCTCCGCTAACATCAAGGCGGTGACCCGATCCTGTAGGTTCATGCTCTACAACATTCGGAGAGTACGACCCTGCCTTACACAGGAAGCGGCACAGGTCCTAATCCAGGCACTTGTCATCTCCCGTCTGGATTACTGCAACTCGCTGTTGGCTGGGCTCCCTGCCTGTGCCATTAAACCCCTACAACTCATCCAGAATGCCGCAGCCTGTCTGGTGTTCAACCTTCCCAAGTTCTCTCACATCACCCCGCTCCTCCGCACACTCCACTGGCTTCCAGTTGAAGCTCGCATCTGCTACAAGACCATGGTGCTTGCCTACGGAGCTGTGAGGGGAACCGCACCTCCGTACCTGCAGGCTCTGATCAGTCCCTACACCCAAACGAGGGCATTGCGTTCATCCACCTCTGGCCTGCTGGCCCCCCTACCTCTACGGAAGCACAGTTCCCGCTCAGCTCAGTCAAAACTGTTCGCTGCTCTGGCACCCCAATGGTAGAACAAGCTCCCTCACGACGCCAGGACAGCGGAGTCACTCACCACCTTCCGGAGACACTTGAAACCCCACCTCTTTAAGGAATACCTGGGATAGGATAAAGTAATCCTTCTACCCCCCACTTACCCCCCCCCCCCCCCAAAAAAATAAAAAAGACATATTGGAAAGTGGTTATCCCACTGGCTATAAGGTGAAGGTACCAATTTGTAAGTCGCTCTGGATAAGAGCGTCTGCTAAATGACGTAAATGTAAATGTAAAATGATTCTGACATTTCACATTCTTAAAATAAAGTGGTGACCCTAACTGACCTAAGACAGGGAATTTTTACTTGGATTAAATGTCAGGAATTGTGAAAAACTGAGTTTAAATGTATTTGACTAAGGTGTATGTAAACTTCCGACTTCAACTGTACCTGTGATTGAGACCGCTGATTGGGTGGAGGAAAACAGTGTTCTCTTGGCCTAAATAGGAGAAAAGGGACAGATCAGCTTTACATATATCAGTCACATAATATACTTTTCTTTATCTAATATGGTAAGAACATGGACAAAGAAAATGATCATTGGTCAAAGTATGATCACGCTTAAGAAATATAAATACATGCCCGTAGAAACATCACAATATCAACGGCTAAGGCTAAGCTGTTGTCAAGTTTAGATGTTGCAATAAAACTGATTCATGACTAACATTCATAAACAACATGTACTGAGATGCTATGACGATGCATAACTTTCTTTGCATTTTCAATGGTCACACATCTTCCTATGCCGAATTGCCATGATGTGCTACATTCTATTAATTCGTGGGGACCTGGATTATATTTAGTTGATAAAGGCAAGGATATATTTTTTTATTCAGTTATTACAAAGTAATTTTTTACATAGAATGATGTGGGTGAACTGTT